ATTCCTGCATCACTTCTTCCAGTGCTCTATTCACAAGCATTTACTAACTGGAGACGTGGCGTTTCATATATACTGTATGCTTCTGCTCGGGGTCCTGACTTCGGCCGCCTTTTAGCGTGGAAAGCCTCAAGCTGTAAATGTTAAAACCAGAATTAACGTCACTATTGTAAACTTAGGAGTAGGGCTGAGGAACCGCACCACAAAAGACCTGTTAGAAAACAGCGGCGTCTCTCCTCGTGTTTGCCTTTCGTGTAATTGTCCCTGCAGGAAAACCATAGCAGAGCTGTGCAAGAGCTTACAGTGCTGATGTTTATGGTTAGTCATTCACTTCCAGTGTGTCCAGGGCTTGGTGTGGTAGGGGTGTGCTCAGGATGTCACTTTGTCACTGGTTTTCCTCTTGCAGGGAGTGAATCCCTTAGGTCCGTTTTTAGGTCCATCTGTACACCGGGTTATTTTCAAATCAGAAGCAAGACTCGTAGTTTATTAATGCGTACAACTGTGGACAGCCTGGGCTCTTGAGGGGAATCAGAGATTAAACAGGAGGGGTTTGAGGTAACTCAGGTTTATGTTTTATATTAATTCAAATAGGAGCAGAATGTAGTGGCTTTTTGAAAGTGGTTTTTAGAGGAGAGGATATAATTGCTCGTTTTGTGCATAGCCCATTACTCCCATCAAAGGGGAACCGTTTGGACATTCCACTCGCCTGAATTTCGGATGGAAAATTCAGTTAAGACAAATGGATGAAGTGAATTTAAAACGTCACTCGCTGTCTGTCTGAAATGAAAATGGCTCAGTTCTAGGCTCACATGAGTGCTTACAGTCTCCAGTTTTTCAGGAGCAAAGCCCAGCAAGGTCACTAAACGGCAGGCTGCAAATTGCCCAAAATCTCCAGGGCTGGTAATGGTGGGGTGCATTTAGAGAAAATTAATTCCATTTTAAGAAGAATCCTGTATGCGAGACGTTCCTGGTCCTGTGATGTATTTTTGCCAAGAAGAATTTAATTGCAATAAACATTTCGGTTGATTTAAGTGAGAATGAAATCCTGTTGGACAATACCACTAGCTTTGCTGGTGTGGCTCTGGGGACTAAAGGATGTGTTGGGGTCTTGGGTATAGGGGAGTGTGGGGAAGGGAGTGAAAAACACTGGTTTGGAGTCATTAGTTTACTGCATATAAGTGTTCTGGTATTGGGAACATATAGGATTCCCAATGGGAATGCAAGGCTGCTCCCGTTTGCCTGTTGCTAATGAGCGTTGCTAATGACCCTTCCCACACAGATCCCGCGCTGGCCCAGTCATGCTCCACTTTGAGGATAAAAGTGTAGGAAGCTCTTGTTGCCTCTGCCCAGTTTATCCTCGCCCAGCGGAGAGCAGGCTCCAGTCTTCAAAGCTGTCAACTCAGCATCTTGTGCGGTGCTAATCTTGTCATATTTGATAAGGCAAAGCAGAGCGTGGGAAGGCAGCTTAGCCGGAAAGCTATTAAGCTCTAATAATACAGATGGTGATAGGGCTGTGGCCCAAATTCCCTTCGGTTCCCAGCGTGGTGCTGGCCACAACCCTTGTGCCTCAGCTCCCACCCCTGCGCTGCTCGCAGCGGGCTCTGGGTTGTAAACCCTTAGTGAGTCTATCTCGCAATGTCACGCTCCTGTTCCAGCGCATTTTCAACTGCAGAAATGCTGATTTCAGAGAAGAAGTCTCCAGAAAACAGTTCATTTTCAGAAAACGGAGCCCAAAATGTTATCTTCC